AAGTTGCAGACCTGAGTCCACTACCCCAGTGATTGTTTCATTTGTTTGGAATGATAGTTGATCCATTGACGCTCTGTCCCACTGCGTGAAGAAAGCATTCTGAAATGTTCTTTTGTGCCACTGAGCCCAAACTGAATCATTGGGAACATAGCAGTCATCAAATCCAAAATGTTGAGGCAAGTTTTGCCCGGTAAATTAGTTGTCACCAGAGCCCATTTCACTTTGTGGACCAGTGGGCCCACCTTTCCCTGTGGCAGTTGAACCACATTGGCTTGGGTGACCTGCAGAGCACCCAGGAAAACCATCTACTCAGTAGGGTGTAGACTGCTCTTCTTCCAATTTATCAGCCACCCGAGTGTTAGAGAGTGTAAATCAGCAACTCCTGATGTTGAATAAGAGTATTCCTGCTGCTGGCCAGTAGGAGTATGTCGTCCAGATAATGATGGACTCCCAGCCCCCTTTATCTCAGGAGTGCAATTACTGGCAGTAGGACTTTCATAAAAGTTTTGGGTGCCGTAGATATTCCAGAGGGCAGACTTCAAAACTGAAAATGCTGGTGATTGATGGCAAAACGGAGGTACTTTTTGAAGCATGGATGAATGGGCATGTGCAGATATGGGTCTGATAAAACTATGGACAGCATCCAGTCTCCTAGATTTTATCGCAAGCAGGATAGACTGAAGACTTTCCATCTTAAAAGATTTGAGATGTATTCTGTTGAGGCCTTTCAGGTCTAATACTGGTTGAAGATCCTCAGTTTTATTTTTTTACCAAGAATAAGGGTGAGTACAACCCCTTCCTTTATTGAGAGACTGGAACCTCCATTATTGCACGTTTTTAAAAGTAGCTCCAAGACGTATTTGGTTAGAATTTCTCTTCCCCAGGTCTGAAGGAAGTCTGGTCGCTTGAAAATGGTTGCTTGAGAAGTTCCCTTGGAACTGCTATGACCCATAAAAATGGTGGAAACTGCCCAAGGAACTGCTATATGGTCTGCCCACACCTGTGCATAAAACCTGACTCCAGACAGACTGGACAGATACACCTTCAAAAGGACTTCTGTTGGTCCCCCGCCAAGGACGATTTCGAACTCTGAAGGCCTAAAAGGGAAGATTGGCCTCTTTTCCAGTTTCTTTTAAACTCCCTCCCTGGTCTGTAGAATCTTGCTTCCCTGTACATGTCCAGAAGGTTTCATTTGTAAGACAGACCCCTTTGTGGTCTGGGCACCTCATCTGATGGAATCAGGCCTGACTTCCCGCCAGTAACTTTGGAGATGGCAGAGTCAAGCTTGGAGCCAATTAAGGTAACCCTATTATAACATATTTTGCACTAATTGGTTTTCGATGCAGCGTCTGCTTCCCGGGGCTTCAACCATAGAGCCCTTCTAGTAACGATTGAGAATAGCATTGCTCTCTTGATCTCATCACATCACAACCGCCACAAAGCCCCGGCCAATTTAAGCTCCTGAAGAGCTGATACTAACTTTTCTCGATCCGCTCCTTCCACTAGAGGTTTTTTCAATGTTGGATGTCCAGCCTTTCCTACAGCCACAAGAGTAATGGCTGGTCTCTACAGACACCACCCGCTGCTGTGTATGTAAGGTTCAGCTCAGGATATATTTTGCGGTCTAACACATCTCTGAATGTAACCGCATCCTCCATTGGTAGCGTTACATGTCTGGCTAAACACATCAAGGATGCATCAATGACTGGAGCGGAGATTAATGGATTCACCTTGGGCTTCTTTAAAGGGTACAATTTCACCAATCTACTGTTGAGACTTATCTTCTGGTCTGTATTTTGCTATTCATCCTAAATTAGCTCATCCAGCTTATCAATAAAAGGAAAGGCCTCTGGCTCCTTTTTAAGGTTTGGAATTATCTTCTGGTCTTGCAAGGCATTTCTTGCGCCTCCACCCAACCAATCGCCTCGATGACTGACTTGGTAAATGTTTCAACCAAAGCGAAGTCAAATCCTGTAGCACCTTCCTTATCTTCACTCTCTGAAGAGCTCATTTTTGCTGAATGCGGGGGGGGGGCGGAGTAGCAGTGCTCTGAGCTGCTCTGTCTATAGCAGGGGTTGGTGCCTCCAAGATTGACTGTTACTTTTCTGACATCCGCTTCTTCCTCCTAGCATGAGCGACAGGCCGGTTGATCAGGAAGCGCTGGCGTCCCGAATTACCCAGCAAGCGTTATCCCCCGGACCGGAGTGGTGACCATGGGATGAAAAAAGAGGAGGCGACAGTGCCCTTGCTTGATGAGAGCGGTGGTGGCAGGAAGAGGGCCTAGAAGGACTTCTCCTTGAATGCCTATGCCTGGTTGGTGATGCTTGACTCAATCATTCTCTGTGTTTTATTGTAGAGGATCTTGATGACCTGGGAGGGCTGTCTAATTATGACAGCGTTGGTGATATGGCTCTTTTTTACTATTCACTACTTACCACACCCCTTACCTTTCAGGCTGAGGATGGTCTGCTTGGGCAGAGGAAGATAGCACCTGACACCTATAAGATATAGTCTATGAGCAGGCAGACTGACAGCACAAAAAAACAGGAGAATGACAGCCAAGACGAACACTTACATGCATTTGTGCAAGAAGAGGTTAACCTCAGCAGGGATCCAACCTTGCAGCATCAAAACCACTAGTGCAGCAAAGCCAGCATGACAGGAAAGATTTTTAAAACCGCTGCCAAAGTCATCAATGCACATGCTTAGTCACAACTTGTGAGCTCTGACGCCATCTTGGAAACTGGCAAAGGAGATTCCCTACTGATATAACTTGCTGCAGCACATGCTCAGATGCCTCCAAGTGCAGCACCATCTTGGAAGAGGGCATACAGCCCAGATGAACCCAACACATGAAGATACAAGGGGAAAAAAAAAAAATTACAGGAGAACCGCTGCAACACATTTAAAACTTACTTGAAGTTTGATTAGTTCTGCTTAGCCTACCCCTGAGATCATCAGACTGGGGTTCCCTCCATCTGGATCTTTTAGAGGCTGCACAGGATAAGACTTTCACCCAGGAGAGGCTGAACCTGGCTGGAGCGAATGCAGTAAGGGGTACTGCGCGATCCATCCGGTCCTATCCAGGTGAGGACAAAAAGGAGAATGCTGGGGTGTGTCCTAGCTAAAGAACTTATAGCTAACTGGTGCTATCAGGTTACGGGGGGCAGAGCCACAGCCCAGTGTATGCTGCCATGATACGCCAGGAAATGTTATTTAATTCTTTATCAAATATACAGTGGGGCAAAAAAGTATTTAGTCAGCCACCAATTGTGCAAGTTCTCCCACTTAAAAAGATGAGAGAGGCCTGTAATTGGCATCATAGGTAGACCTCAACTATGAGAGACAAAATGAGAAACAAAATCCAGACAATCATATTGGCTGATTTGGAAAGAATTTATTTGCAAATTATGGTGGAAAATAAGTATTTGGTCACCTACAAACAAGCAAGATTTTTGGCTCTCACAGACCTGTACCTTCTTCTTTAAGAGGCTCCTCTGTCCTGCACTCATTACCTGTATCAATGGCACCTGTTTGAACTTGTTATCAGTATAAAAGACACCTGTCCACAACCTCAAACAGTCACACTCCAAACTCCACTATGGTAAAGACAAAAGAGCTCTCGAAGGACACCAGAAACAAAATTGTATCCCTGCACCAGGCTGGGAAGACTGAATCTGCAATAGGCAAGCAGCTTGGTGTGAACAAATCAACTGTGGGAGCAATAATTAGAAAATGGAAGACATACAAGACCACTGATAATCTCCCTCGATCTGGGGCTCCACGCAAGATCTCACCCCGTGGGGTCAAAATGATCACAAGAACGGTGAGCAAAAATCCCAGGACCACACGGGGGGGACCTAGTGAATGACCTGCAGAGAGCTGGAACCAACGTAACAAAGGCTACCATCAGTAACACACTACGCCGCCAGGGACTCAGATCCTGCAGTGCCAGACGTGTCCCCCTGCTTAAGCCAGTACATGTCCGGGCCCGTCTGAGGTTTGCTAGAGAGCATTTGGATGATCCAGAAGAGGATTGGTAGAATGTCATATGGTCAGATGAAACCAAAACAATAGAACTATTTTGTAGAAACACAACTCGTTGTGTTTGGAAGAGAGAGAATGCTGAGTTGCATCCAAAGAACACCATACCTACTGTGAAGCATGGGGGTGGCAACATCATGCTTTGGGGCTGTTTCTCCGCAAAGGGACCAGGACGACTGATTTATGTACAGGACAGAATGAATGGGGCCATGTATCGTGAGATTTTGAGTGCAAACCTCCTTCCATCAGCAAGTGCATTGAAGATGAAACGTGACTGGGTCTTCCAACATGACAATGATCCCAAACATACCGCCCGGGCAACGAAGGAGTGGCTTTGTAAGAAGCATTTCAAGGTCCTGGAGTGGCCTAGCCAGTCTCCAGATCTCAACCCCCAGTAAAACCTTTGGAGGGAGTTGAAAGTCCGTGTTGCCAGCGACAGCCCCAAAACATCACTGCTCTAGAGGAGATCTGCATGGAGGAATGGGCCAACATACCAGCAACAGTGTGTGCCAACCTTGTGAAGACTTACAGGAAATGTTTGACCTCTGTCATTGCCAACAAAGGATATATAACAAAATATTGAGATGAACTTTGGATATTAGCCAAAAACTTATTTTCCACCATAATTTGCAAATAAATTCTTTCCAAATCAACCAATGTGATTGTCTGGATTTTTTTTTCTCATTTTGTCTCTCATAGTTGAGGTCTACCTATGATGCCAATTACAGACCTCTCTCATCTTTTTAAGTGGGAGAACTTGCACAATTGGTGGCTGACTAAATACTTTTTTGCCCCACTGTACTTGCGGTTTTCTGTAGTGTTTTCATTTACATACTAATGTATTCACAATGTATGTTGCACATGCACATAAAGACAGTAGAGGGTTTTTTCACAGCATAGGCTGGAAGTGGAAAACCCTTTCAAGGGTAACACACTAATGTGAGGGCATTACCTACTTTGTCTGATACTCCAGATCTCCAGCGGTATCAATGTTTAGGTCAAAGACCTGGTCTGCTTCCCTTCCAGTGTCATCAAAGCTCATGTGAGGAATGTTTTTAAACCTAGGGGAAAAAATCATAAGTATTTATACAGACCTCGAATTAAAATGATATAAAAAGAGAACACTGAGATTTTCTACCAGCAGCCTGACAGGCCCACAGAAGAACATACTGTAGGTACAGCATAAAATATTTAATCTAGAGGCTATGCAATGCTGGACATGTGTGGCAAAAAATGTTGGCCAGTGGTGTTGTAGGAAAATATAATGTATACTAAAGGATACATGCAACAAATATCTACTTAGTGATATCTATAAATCAATTGGAATAAACCATTATTTCCCAAAAATACAGGTAAATAGTACTGAATGAAATTTTGAATAAGCGTTCCACAGTATAGTTCAAAACTAAAATCTTCCATAGTCACCACACAGGACACAGCAATGTCTTGCAACGAAAATTCAGAGGAACACAGTGGAGACAGAAGTGGAGGGGGAAAATTAAAGTGGAACAATACTCACCTCAGCTCCAGCAACGCGGTCTCGCTGAACTTGCTGCATGGCCAATGACATCTTTGGGCAGCTGGCTTCTAGGTCTTGATCTCTAGCTGCTTTTATTGGCCGGGTGGGGATGATGTCACTCCCACACATGCACAGGAGTCCTAGGCATTGCCAAATTTGTACAGTGAGCTGCGTGTACAAGGGCGGACAGACAGCTAAGTAACTTTAATGCAGAAGAGACAGAGCATGTCTCTTCTGAATTAAATCTCCTACTCATTTGCCATTTTTTTTATTGTGGCCTAAAGTTCCATTTTACAGAACAGCATAGCCTTCTACTAAGCACCAGCAGACGTGACAAAACAGGATGAGGCGGGGAGGGGCCGGAACATGGCGCTGTGAGCAGCATGAGCTTCAGGCACCCGCCACTCACTACAGCCTAACTCCTGACTGCCCAGAGCTTACCGGAGGGAGGAGCTGCTGGCCACAGTGTTCGGTGGTCGGATGGACCCAGCTGCGGCCTTGTGGAGCTGGGAGACCCTGCAGGAGCTGGGCCCCTGGTGAAGCAGGACGGCCGGCTTTTGGAGGCGGTTGTGAGGTCCACAGGAGTTCCGAGATCTCCATGAACTGGGAGCAGGAGGCGGTGGCTGGGAGTGCCGAGGTGACAGATGCCTTCCCATGTGACAGGGAAGTCTTAAAGGTCTGGGAAAGCAGGAGGCTCTGCGGATAAAGTGGAGACAGAGCTCTGATGGGATCCCACCCTGTGCTAAGCCACTAACTGCAGGACACACAGAGACACCCCAGATCTTTGTCAAACCACAGAAGTACCCCCTCAGGTGTGTCTAAGTGTGGCTTGGAAGCTACGGTGGGAACTGAAGTGCAAACAGGGACAGAAGGGTCGATTCGGAGGGTGATGGTGAGTTGCCGTGGGCAACGGCAGAACATTTAAGTTTCTGTTGACCTGATGCTTGTTTGATAAATATACCTGAGCAGTGAGGGTGACTGAGGACTATATTACATGGTGTTCTCTTAGATTGCTGGAATTGTTTAACTTAAGCTGACCCCAGATGGAATTGATTAGGGGCGGTAAAAATCACAGAAGGAAAAAAACAGGGGCTTTTCTTGGGGACGATAAATTTGTATTTTAATAGAGAAACTAGCGCTGGGACGCTTAGGTGACCATTTATGTGACATCTATCGGAAGCCTGTGATCATAGAAAAGTAACAGGAGCACCAAAGAGGAATGAAGAGTAAATCAACTAAAGGAGGGGGCTCAAAAACCCCCCAATTGAATGCAAATGCCAGTACAATTAAAAAATATATGTCCTCCCAGGAGAAAAGCCCAGAGAAGCGAACCCGAGAAAAACAAAAAGTTAGAAAATTCGACGGAAATCAATCCAGATTGTCACCTGGGTCCCGGGAAGGGAACCAGACCAATGAATCAATATGTCTGGACAGTGTAATGGAACAAAATGTCACGGAACAACAAGGAGCTATGTCACAAATACTTACAAAAACTGAGATGGAGGAAATGTTCGCGAAACTGGAGATGTTTTTGAAAAATAAGATGGAGACACTACGCAATGATTTGGGTCGGATATTACCGCGAGTGGAAGAAGTAGAGGGGAGAAAGGAGATACACTCGCAATTAATCAAATTAGAAACACAGGTGGAGGAGATGCGTAGAGAACAGAGAAAGCTCTTATTTAAATTGGAAGACCAGGAGAACCGCAATAGGAGAAATAATCTAAGGATCCGGGATCTACCAGAAGAACAACAGGGAACATAGGATCAGACGACCACAAGGAGTGTCGGTGGAAAGCCCCAGAGATATGATAGTTCGATTCCATCGCTATGAAGACAGAGAAAGGATATGGAAAAGTTTGCGTGATACTACCGCAATAAAATATAAGAGACAAAGTTGAATATTTTCCCTGACATTGCTCCAGAGACACTGGCTACCAAGAAGATTGTTGAAACCGCTGCTGGAACATATGAAAGAAAAAAGTTCAAGATAATTGGGGCTTTTCAGCATGCTTAATCAGATGAAAAGACGGAAAATCGGCAAGACTGAGGCTCCTAGAAGATCTTGGTGACTTTTCAAGAAATTAGATTTACAGAAAATAAATTTGAAGGGTGGTCAGACAGGCCTAAAGAGAGTGGATGGCAAGGATCAGGAAAGTGGCAATGGGCATCTAGGAAGAAAGTGTAGGGAGGCATGGGGTGGATGGGGGGAGAGGGGAAGGGGAGGAGGGGAATATCCCTAGGTGTTTTTTTTCCCTCTCATCTCTCTCTCTCTCAGTCTGCACCACCAACCCCCCCACCGGTCCTCTCCTGGCTGCACCATGGTTCCTTCATCCCTGCTCCCTTCCTCCCTGGTTTGAGATAATGGGTGGAAAGGAATGAGAGGTAGAGTGCACTTTTGATGTGGCGGGTTGCCTGGAGGCCGAACATGCTGTTAAACTCCAATCAGACTATTGATTCAAGTTAGGGATTGTAGTGGGCTTACGTGGTTTGAGTCTCACCCCAAATTAGGAATCGCTAGTGGGAATAACCCATGACAGATTCCAGGGCTACAGGTAGGCCATGAGCATTTTAGGGGAAAGGGAGGGTGAACGGGGGGGAGAATGTCCATATCTTAAGATATCTATATCTGTGCCTCTCTGATGGGAAATTTGGTAGGGTAGTGGAATAGCACCAGAAATTAGCGTGATTAAGTTTATGACTTACAATGTGAAAGGATTAAACTCTCTGACAAAAAGACATAATTCACCAACACTCCATAGATGTAGTGTTTCTACAAGAGACACATATAACTCATGATACAAATGTTACGCTGTATACGAAGTACTACCCAATGTAGTACTATGCCGTCTCTCCAGTTAAAAAGGGCTAAAGGAGTAGCAATCGGGTTTTCAAAAAAAATTTTGTTTTACCCTGGGAGATTGGAGGACCCAGAGGGCCGGCTTCTATTCTTGAGAGGAAAATTACAAGGACTTGAATATACATTAGCTAATATTTACTGTCCGAATAAAAACTCGGAAACATTCTTGGCGGGTATGTTAAGCAGACTTTTTGAATTTAGGAAGGGTAGCCTGGTTGTGGCAGGAGATTTTAATTTGTGTCTGGATCCTCTGTTGGATGCGTCATCAGGTACACAGAGAGAAGGTGGTAGGAATTTAAAACTATTGAAGAAGATATTATATCAATGTCAATTGGCGGACACTTGGAGAGTGAAACATCCAAGAGAAAAGAGACTACACCTTCTGCTCTCCAGTAGATGGATCGTATTCAAGACTGGATTATATAATGATCAAACATAGACAACTGAAGTCATTGGTTAGTTTTAACGAAAGAACGGTAGAGAAAAAAAAATAAAGATGGTGATGCAGCAGCTCTATAAGTTAGAACAGTTACATAAAAAGAAGATAGGTACAGACTTATATCAGAAGATAATTTTGAGAAGAACTAAAAGATCTTATGGAACAGGAGTCGAGAAAGATACTTAATAGGGTCTGAAAAGAAAGATAACAGTGGGGGAATAGACGTGGAAAACAATTAATGAAGAGGCTAAAGGAAAAGAAATCTAAAAAAAAAAAAAAGATGGTAAAGGAGAAATGGTGTACGTCACCAGTGATATTGCTAGTAGGTTCCAAAAATATTATAGTAGGCTGTACGATGTGAGTCCCAGAAATCAAAAAGAAATAGAAGATGAAAAGAAGAGAAATAGGCAGAAATACTTAAATGAGGCAGAGATACCAAGAATAGCAGCAGAAAAATTAGAAGCCCTAGAGCAAGCCATTACCCCGTAGGAAATTACCTTGGCCCTAGAGAATATAGCCACAGGAAAGAGCACTGGTCCAGACACATATACTGTGGGCTATTTTAAAATGTTTTGAGATCTCTAGGTCCCTAATATGTGTGGTTATATGAATGCAATAGGAGAAGGGTTTGAAAAACAGCTGACTGACGAAAAGACGTTTGATAGGGTAGACTGGGGATTTATGTTTTACACGTTAGAGGCTTTGGGTCTAGGGTCTAAAATGTTAACGTGGATAAAAGGGCTCTATAACAGTCTGTCAGCGGCGGTTAAAGTCAACGGATCCCTTTTAAAAATGTATAATGGTATTAGACAAGGATGTCTACTCTCTCCTTTGTTATTTGTACTATCTCTGGAACCTGTCCTGATGAGGGTAAGAAAGTGTGTTGATAAAGCTGGAATAAAGATAGGGGAAGTAGAGTATAAGGTGGCAGCATACGCAGACGATATGTTATTCTATATTGTAAATCCTAGAATAACGTTGCCTAATCTAATGAGACTTTTAACACAGTATGGCGAGCTATAAAATTTGAAAATAAACCCTGCAAAGTCAGAGATTTTAAACATCAATATATCAAAGCAAGAGAAGTTGAGCTTACAAAAAAAGATTTTCCATTTACTTGGAGGGAAAAGGAAACAGGCTACCTGGGAATAAAATTAACTCCTTCAATAAAAGGCCTATATCAGGAAAATTATATCCCATTAATATATTAAATAAAGGACGAGCTGGGAAGACTTGCAAAGGG